CATACAAGGACTATCATATATGGGGCCGTAGGGGCGTTCTTTCAGGTATGCTATAGAGTATTCCAGATGGTGGTCCATGAGGCGCACGATTTCTAGAGAGTATTGTATAGTCCATAAGGTATTTTGCAAGGTATTCTATGTGGTATTTTACAGGGTATTCCAGATATTCTATAGGGTAGATATATGGGGTATGCTTGAAAGTATAGGATAAGGCATTCCAGAGGCTCTAGGGCATTCAATAAGACATGAAGGTATTCTATATTAGGGTATTCCGTATGAAAGTTTTTAAGGGATGTATTCTAAAGGATATCCTATAATTTATTCTATATTGTGTATTGTATAGGGTGTGCTATAAGGTATATGTAATCTACGGCGTGTGGGGTTTATCATACGTAGGCGGTTTCGTGTAAGGTCTTCGACAGGATAGGTGTCTATGAGGCGCACGATATATGGAGGGTATTAGACATTCTATAACAAGGTATTCTAGAGGCTCTAGGGTATTCAATATGGTATTAAGGTATTGTAATATAAGTTGGGGGGCAGGGGAGAGGAGGGTGTGGGGACAAGGAAGGGGGCAGCGGAGAGGGGGGGCAGAGGAAGGAGGGGTGGAGGGGGAGAGAAAGGGAGGGGGGGGGGAATGAGAGGGTGGGAGGGATGGGGGAGAGTGAGGAGGGTGAGGGGAGGGGGTAGTGGAAGGGATAGGGAGAGGGAAGGAGGGGTATGGGAGGAGGACGAGGGATGAGGAGGAGGAAGATGATGAAGATGATGAGGTGGATGATAAAGAGGGAGGGGGAGCGAGAGAGAGGACGAGGAGGGGGAGGTGAAGGGCAGTTTTTTGAAGAGGAGGGGCAGGGAGAGATGGGGAGGGGGGTATTGGTAGTGAGGGACAGAGGAGAGGGGGCAATTAAAATAATTGAAATTTACTTATTTTGATTCTTTTTATTATCTAAAATCCCGTGGTCCTGCGTTCACAGCTAAAAAAGCAATCGATTTTCAATTGTTGTAATTATTTTCTTTATTGGGGTTTGAAAAACAACTAAAATAATGAAAATACTTAAAATACCTTTTCTCCTGGGTGGTGCGAATCCAGGACCACGGGATTTTACCTCATAAAAATGAGCAAAATAATGATAATAATAAGAAGAAGAAGAAAAATAATAATAATTAAAACCGGCCGATAATTATTTTAATTATTTTTGTATTTCGGGTTGGGAAATAATTAACATAATTAAAATAATTAACATGCTGTTTTTATCTATGTTAATTATTTTACGTATTTTTGTTAATTGAAAATCCCGTGGTCCTGGGTTCCACAGCTAAACAAAGCAGTCGATTTTCATTATATCAATTATTGTCTTTATTGGGGTTGAACAAGAATCAAAATATGTATAATATTTAACACAATCTAATATACTTGTTTATGTTACATTATATAAATTACTTCAGTCTATAACGAGTCGTTAAAGTTTAAATAGACCCTAAAGGTAACTCTCTCGTATATGTATACATAGGTATAAACGTAAAACCTATATTCGTACATGTGAATATGCAGTACGTATACACACATACTATAAAAAGGTGCATGCATCTATCATTATATGTATGTATGAATGGCCATACCTAAGAAGCTGCAGACAACACTATGTCTGCGTACGCCGTGTATAAACGCATGCATGTGTGTGTGTGTACGGGCATCTATATATACATATACACATAGTCATATACATGTGCGTATGCATAATCATATGCATGTATTTCTCGCCCACTCTGCAAGACAATTTACCCAGTGGCTTGCCGGACGGATTACCACCCCGCCTACTCGGACAGCCGCGCAAGCTTACTAAGACGCTTTGTGAATTCTACCAGAAGCTAGGTTAACGGTTCTTGGTTTTGCACGCCATATGCTGTCCCGGTCCTGACCTCCAGATCCCAAAACACCCCAAGCACCCTTATCTGTTTCTGAAATCGGTTCTGATACTTCTTCGAATTTGCTTTCGAGAAATTATTGCCCGCCTTGTATGTCCCGGTGAACTCACGAACCTGAGGGGCCCACCGCATGGAGAAGAACATCAGCGTACCCAGCATCGTTAATATGACCTCATAATCGTTGCTCACCTTGGCATGTACAGTTAAATTTGGGAGTTCAGCGTGCCATCAGCTGGTTCAACCAAGACACGGCAGTAAAAACTTCCAAGGCCTGCAAGCCCCAAAGCGCCGCCAGCCGCCTGCGTGCTCTTTTCTGTCTGTCTCGAATTGTCTCGCTCTCGATGCCTCTCGAATTTGGTATCAAGCATGTGCCAGTGCGGCTTGTCCCCGTCGAAATTTTCGGGTCTTCAACATACAGTTCGCAGTCGGAAATCTAAATTGGGCCAATCGCCTGGCAACTGTCGCTTGTAGGGCGTTAACTGGGACTCAGTCTGCAGGGCCGTTCTTCCAAGGTTGGATCCCGAAAAGCTGAAGCTCAAGTCCAGCAGCGATGTTCAAACTGAACCCTGCCAAGATAACCCCCCCCCGGCAGATTGGGAGTCCTAGCTGTCTCACTGCACCACCACAGTCACTCCGATCTTTGGCACCCCTTCGAGGTAGAGCTCTGCGTTCATGGCGGCCAGGTACCCGTCGGTCAGGCTCGCCGATTGTTTTCGCATCAGGATGCTGTTGTGTAGTTGTGTTCCCTGTAAGGCTCAGGTCAGCTGCGGTCACCTTCCAGAAACCCGTTGCAAAGCGCAGAAGAGAGAAGTATCGGGGGAGTAAGAGGGACTTGGTTGTACGCGGGGACGGGCGCCAAGAACAGAGTGTGGAAAGAGGGCACTGAGAGGGCCCAGCGGCGGTGAACCGCTCACGGCTTGAGCCTAAACCTTTCCTCTCTTGGGTTTCCAAGCCTCCGGGCTGAGCGCATCTTGCGGGTTTTGGGGTGGAACCATATCATGAATTAAGGTATGTTCCCGGTGCCTTCAAGGTGCTAACACCTTTCCCGAGGGGCTGGAACAGCAAACTGAAAATGATTTTGGCTGAGACTGGTTCATCGCTAAGAGGACCTTCGGAAGATAATTTGTAATCATCAACACTCCGTCTAGGGAAACTCATCTGCCAGTTGTAAGGACAGCACTATTAAACCACACCAGAGTAAAGCATCTCATTGATCCTCCATGCTTCTCACGAAAAGTGATCCAAAGCTGACTAGCCGGTGGGTTCAAGCGACTCAAGGTTTTCAAGACATGCCTCGTGCAATTTGTACACAGACACTTCGCGGCTTCGCCGGTGGCACTTAGGTCCCGCTGTAAGTGGCTCAAAGTGGCTCAATATGGTAGTCAAAGGACTGAACGACATCGCTGCCCCTAGTTTACCCGCAGGCTGTCACCCCTGCAGGCTTATTTCAGCAACATGGGGAGGTGGGCACTAGAAGCTCTCTCGCCAAAGCACAACAGTAAACGAAAGGCGGACGCTCAACAGCACAGGGCAGGTCAGCGGCCAGTGCCACCGAGCCCGCATTATCATAAGTCAAGGCTATGCCGAGCCTCCGGTTTGCGAAGAAGCATGCAACCCATGGGGTAACCTAAGCAGAACCCGCGGTCTTTCTGAAAAAATTATACTGCTACTGAATGCACTGGGAGTTGCTGTGCTTGCGTGTGCATGCGTCTACACTCTTTGCTGACCATGAGGTGCAGACCACAGTCCATGCACAGAGAATGTGCTCTGCCACAACAGCCTGCAACGCGCAACACATCCACTAGTCAGTATGTGTTGGAGCTCCTCTCGGCGCAAGCATAACTGTCTGCGTTGCTGGAGAACGAAAACTTCGTGCTTCCTGGTTCGACAGGCGTGATCTGATGAAGCCACAGGCCTGACGATCGAATTCGGACTCGGCCTGTCGGCAAGAAAGCAAGCTCAAGCAGGCTTTGAAAAACTCAGGAAATTGACACTAAATTTAGGCCTTGGTCTATTGTCGTACACGCCCGCCACTACGAGAGCTCAAGCGGAGCGTGGTAGTATGTGGTAGTTTCGGCGGCAGCAGCAGTATGTCGGACGAACTGAGATCTAAAACTCTGTATAATCGGCCCAACATAGTAATTCCAACTCAAAAACCAAGCACCAGAATCCCGAAGTACCGATGGTATCTATGAACCCACCCTCTTTCCTTCTCCACGTCGTTCCGATGTGGTTTCAATATGGTCTTGCATCTATGGTAGGCATGGTGCCAGAGGTCAGCCAGCCCTCACGGGTCACATGCAGATGTCGCTTCTTGCAAGCGCTGGCACTGCCGGCAGCCAGCAAACTCAAGCCCGATGCCCGGCCTGGACCAACTGCTTGTCCGCCTCTCCATGTGTCATATGGCACAAGAAGTCTCACAGGCTCCAACAGCAGACAGTTCTGAGGATGGCCTTGCCGGACAGCTGTCCTTGGCCAAGCAGCTGAATCCCTTCCAACTGCGGCATTGCACTTCTGCTTGAACCGTCCGCTTCACAAAACATGGGTGCTTCTTCAATCGCTGGGGTGCTGGCTCCCCCTTGCCCTCAGTGCCTCACCCTGGAATCAAGCCATCTGCATTGCTGTGCCCACTTTAATAGCAACAATGCAACAAGCAGTCATGACGCAGCCGCAAGCATGTGACCATCTTTCTGGGCCTTCTTGCGCCGCTTCCAAAGCCAAATTGCTATCGCCTCAACCAAGTGGGGGTTCTCAAGTCAGCTTTCAATTTTGCCACTGGCTGTCTCATCGAAATCGTTTTTCGCGGACAAATAGCTCGAAGGCTGGCTTGTGTTTGCCGATCTCACTACGTTTGAGCAGTCACCAGGACGAGAACACACGTGACCCTAGGAAAACTCGAAAACCTGCAAAAAAAAGGCAAAGGAATCCAGATTCGGGGTGCTTCGTCCTGCTTAGGCATCCCATGAATACACAAAGGGAATTGCTGAGTGTGCAGAGAGTCACCGTCAGCATACAGTTGTACCGCGGAGAAAAACATACAAAACAAAATAATGGCTATTGTGTTTCAACACATCTCAAATTTTCGAATGGTTATGCCACGAAGCCGAAGACAGGACCCGGACTGCAAACATAAGAAGCGCCCCGACGAAGATCACCAGCCAGGCAAGGTTGTTGACCTGATTGTACAAACATGCCTAATGTCACGTCAACGGCCTGCTTTGTCAGTCAACAGCATACTGCTGAGCACCAGGCTGCTTGGACGGATGGAGTCCAGACCAGGAGTGACCTCGGCATGTTTGCCAAGCAGAATACTCGGCCTAGCATCGAGCATCAACAACGCGATTGATTTATTCAAGGACTCGGCGGCTGCCAATCGAAGTGCTCGGTCGTAACAGCCCAGACGGCGTAGGCTGCAGGCATTTCGCATTACGAAGAAATACTACATGCACACTGCAACATGGTGGCTCGGGAAGCACGCCTGCCACTGGCAAAGAGTAAACTTGTGCTTGGCGCAGTGTCGCTGGCAAGTAGTGGGACACATAAGCTGCCTGCCAAACTGTGACGAGGCAGGTGGAGCTCTAAAAAGAATAAAGGTGTTGGATAGCTGCTGCTTGCACCCGACTGCTCAGCTTCAACTGCGGAGGGCAGACGGCTCTGTGGCTCAGATGCTGCGAAGCGCACGAAGTCTCTGGGTTTCACATTCATGGGACATAGAAATAGCGAGGCAAAAGTATCGGGGTGTTTGCAGCGTTCCACTGCCGTGCTTCACTATGCACCAGCTATGCACACGCTCCCGCCTCTGATCAAGACTTGCACGGACTGTGCTGGTGCAGTGCTGGTATCTCTGCTTTAGTCTAACTAGTCCTGACGGAACTGCAGCGAGCCCAAATCCATTGGAGGAAACGAAATTTCACCACGGGACCTTGGGGTTCATCCAGAGGTTCAAACAGAGGAAGGGGTCATGAAGGCCTGTTTTCAGGCAGTCACAGGGGAGGTGATTAAGTTTGCTGAACCCTCACCCGATCGACGAACTCTGTCTTGTGCCTCCACACGCGGGTCCCGAAAGCGCAGCAAGAAGGTCAGTCGGGCATCGCGCCGCTGGTCCTTGCTTGGTTTAGCAGCATCGAGCCAAACCTGAGACCGTAAAACATTCCTAACGAACTTCAAGAGTGTGGATGTTGTGGGAACTTCTGCTACAATTGATGTTCTGGCTGCCCGCTTGCTTGTCTTGATTACTCCACTTCGTGTGTCGAACATGACAGTGCTCCGCACATGCACTGTGAGGATTGTGAGGATTGCTTGTGTGCCAAGCTTCCTGAAAGAGGTCGTCCAACCACTGGTGGAAGCCCAGCAACTCCTCGCTTGAGTTTTCCAGCTGCCCTGGAGCAGACAAGTGCTCACATTGGCAGATGTCAGCTAAAGCGAGCCAAGCTCAGGCCGTCTTACACCTTCCAGTTTTGTCGAGCAATCCATGCCACCATGCCGCGCATTACACAGAAAACGGGCCTTAAGCCACTAGGGAGGCATGTCCCCTCAAACATGAGGTGAAACATTTCACGATTTACAGAAAGCTTCTTACCTGTACAGTTGCACGCCTAACCGATCCAAACGTCAGGCTACACTGCAAAACATTGGGCCGAAACTTGAGAGACCATTTGGTGGCTGCATAGCAGCTGGGGTGGGCGATGAGGATTGAAACGAAACTCTGCATCAGCTTACCAGACACATGCATCTGAATTGATGTATATCCCACACCCCACGTTAAAAACCCCTGAGGAAGGGCTCTGGGCACCTACCGTGGCATCCTGTGCCGCACGTCTGGAGATCACTGAGACGTGGTCTAAAGTGCCTCGACCTGATCTCTCGTCATTTATCTCCGTACTATCTTACAAAGGAGAACGTCCATGGCCTCCAAGCCAGAACGAAACACACATAAGCCTTGCTATGCTCTGCCTTTGCTTGTAGGTCACAAGCCTCTTCATTTCGCCGGCACCGGCGGCCTGCGCTGCTCGAGACTGGGTGCTGTTGGCGTTGCATGTGCGGCGCTGGCCGCTTTGCTATCCGGGACTTCTGCCCACCCGGGTCGTCGAGCAACAGCCGCCTCACGATGTGCTTTGCCGAACACTCTGCTTGTGCCTTACGCTTTGCTTTGACTGATGTTTGTCGTTGTCCTTGGGCTCACTAAAACCTTTAAAGTAGACCCTTGTAGGTAGTCGTAGAATGGACTCCAGCAAATTGATGCAGGATAGTTCTCAAAGAACCCTCAACCCCCAACTGCTGAGTCTCAAGGTCTGAAGCAGAAGACTGACTTCCTGCCTTGTCCAAGGATGCTCTGGCATCACCGCCGTAGAGAAATGCAACAAATTCGTTCACGTCGACGCAACCGCTCCTCACTGGCAAGCTTAGAGAGAGGTACACGTGAGTACTTTGGCGTGAGCAATTTACTCCAGGAAGCTGCCGTGACTTTGCAACAGGCAGAGAAAATGCTAGCTGCTAGGGTTGACATGCACAACATCGTGTTGCTATTGTTGTCAAGTGAGATTGAGCTACTAGTCAGCGGCTGTAAAGCGTTCTGCTCGGACTTCTTCGCCCTTCCGTGTGCCGGCTACATGGTAACAAAATCCTACGCTGGACAAGGATGATGGAATGGTTTTTTACAGCAATACCCGTATTATGCTTCGTCGACTCAATACTGGCCGGTTCTTGAACATGAGGACAATGCAGCCGGGCTTCCTGTCCGAATCCAACTCACCGAAAATGGTTTGCAAACACTCGCTGGTAATGTGCGGTATTGCCTTTTGCAGCACGCTTGTTACCTCGGCTTCCGTTAGCTTGCCACTGCCATCCGTATCCCAGATCCGGAAAGTTGCAGAAACTGCATTGGCCGGCGAGGACACGTTTTTCGTGAGCCTTTCCGCCAGCTTCTTCTGTTTGTCAGCCATTATCCAGGTGTTAAACTCTGCAAAGCTGACCTTCCCATCCATATCCTTATCCATGGACTTGTGCATGTCCTCCACCTCTTTGAGAGACATGTCTGGAGTTATGCGTCGCAACATCAAGCCCAACTCGGACTTACTGATGGTGCCACTTCCATCTTTGTCAGCGGCCTTGAAATTGTGCTGGATAATCAAGCTACGCACGGTTTCCGCACTTTTGGCTGCCAAAGGCGGCGGGAACCATTGTGACTGGCCTGTCACAGAGTTCCAGTAGTAGGTGCGGCCGGAATTATCCTGGTGCTCTTCCCATGACTCCGGCAGCTTGGTCACCAGTTTCTTCACTTGCACTCCTTTTGCAGGAGCGGGCATTCGTATGTTAACAGCACATTGCTTGGCTTCTACAAGACAAACTCACCTTCTTGGGCCGCCAGTGGCAGAAGGCCCAGCTCAGGAGCAGTGCCGTGTGTCAGCAACCGTACAAGTACTTCTCTTTCTCGCTGTGAACAAAGCCAGCGAAAGCTCGGCCTGTGGTGCCACGAAGAAGGCCACCTTAACAAAGAGACATTCGTGCATGCGGACGCATGCACACAACCGTATCCGTCAACAACTGGGAAAAATCCAAAGAAAGCTTGTCACGACCCTGTGGCATGACGCATGCCATGATGATTGCGAACAGAATGGAGGAATATCTAGATGGGCAGAAGGAGGGATCAGCGGTGCAACTACCGCCGTCACTTTGGTATGCACGGAACTGAAATCCCGGGACAAATATGGCATCGGACAACCAATCAAGCCCTTTCCGGATGCTTCGGCTGGTGGACGTCTCCAGTCTCCAGCTTGCGCTGACCAGAATGCTCATTATGAGGCGGTGCAGCACACATGATCTCTTTGTTCAGTGAGACACATCGCAGGGGTCAAACACTCGAGTAGACAGAGAGCCGAAGCTTTCCAGAGGCTGCGGCGCCCAGGTCCCTCTTCTGGCAAGGAGTCCTCATCCTCTTCCTGTCGTGTCTTGGATCAGACAGCCTCCAAGGGTCTCGTCAAGTGGCCTCGTGCTCTTCGATTTCGTCCAAGCGGTTCATAAGATCGGAAGCATCCTTCAAAGTGCGAAGTCGGACTTCGAGACCTGTCGAGGAGCAGAGTGGCCTCTGGCTCCATCTCATCTTCTTGGTCGCATGGATCGCCAAGATCTCCTGGCAAAGCTCGCGCAACCCCTGTCTTCCTGTCGGCGTGCTCTCGACCCTACCTTGTTCCACATCTAGCTCTTTTGTGCGGTTTCGGACCTCAGCTGCGTTGGGATGCAGACTGTGGGCCTGTGGGCTGCAGCCTTATATGAACTTATATGATTAATAATATATGGGTGCTTTCGACGTCTGGCGACGACTCGGTAGGACTCCGCGGAAAGACGTGGGGCCATGGCCAGGCCGCGGATGGCCGCTGACATCGGCCGCTCGCTCGCACCTCTGGGCTCAAGCGCAGAGGCTGCGTCAGCTGCGTCCGCTTCAATCTGCCGCTTCTTGCTGTGGCGATGACTTCGGTAGCTGCGGGTGAGGTATGTCCTGTGCACTGTGTGCCACATTGTCGCACTGTCCCCGAGAAGACTGCCGGGGCGCCGACCGAAACCTTGAAAACGAGATTTCGCCCTCACCGCTGGAAACCTCCTCCATAACCTGCATGACAAGCACTTCACTGATGGATACGGCGGAATAGCGCTTGCATCAAAGCACAAAGCCTCATCTACTGTCTGTCCGTCTGGGAGCACATCTGCCACCAACACTCCCTCACCTGTCACGTCGCACTGCGGAGAATGCTCGGTGCATTAATGTGCAATCCTCGTGACGAGCCTGACAGGAGCTGTCTGAGCTCTGGCATGGAGATGTAGCCATCACCGTCCAAATCAAAAGTGCCGAACCTTGCAAGCGCTCTGACTTCAACCCTTCAACATCCCGTTGTACCTCGAGGCATCAGTGAGTCAGGAGCGCGTATCTCATCAAGCGCTCCCCACGCTCCTGCAGCGACAGCACCGGTCGCGCAGCTCTGCGATTTGCCCTACCACAAACTCCACTGCTGCACCTCGTCCAGACACAGGGTCGCCGCCAGAAACTCCGTGTAGGAGATCTGGCCATCCTTTCAATGAGATGCGATAGCCGATAGCCGTGAAAGTTCCACGTGACCGATGCCCGATGCCTGGTCGAGGTCCATAGCTGCCATGAGACCACTGGGATCCTCGAGCTCACAAAGATGCACAAGGCGAACTTGCCTAAGACGATGCAAAGAAAATAGAAATGAAACAGCTGTCTCCTGTCGGAGTCCCAACCTGGCCAAGCCCGCTTTCAGTTCTTCCGTGTCCAGTTGGCCCGACTTGTCTGTGTCAAAGTTCTCGAAGAGCTGCGTGTCCCGGCTCAGGTCCTTCATGCCCAAGGCAGCCGCCATGCAGAAAGTCACCTGAGCAACAGTTCCCTAAAGAGAGACCGCAAGAGTTGTGCCGATGCAAACAGCTTCACCGGCTTCTCATCGCTCAGGGCTTGACGGCTCGGTAGAAGTAGCTTGTTGGGCGGCCAAGTCCCTCCGGCATCTGCAGGTGATCATCCAACTCGCTAAGGGCCGATCGGAGCCATTCATGGTCAAAGCACTGCCTTGCCGAAATTCGGGCTTGAGGATCCTTTGCCATCAGCGCAACGACCAGAGATCGAGGAACTTCGGGAACTTTCTCAAATGCAGGCTCATTGTTCGCAACCTGGCAATACAAAACGAAAATGTTGTTGGTCCCTCGGAATGGTCTGGCACCCACGAGCATCTCGTAGAGCATTACACCCAGAGCCCAGGTGTCTGATTTCTGCGTCAGTTTTCCATCAAACCCTTCAGGTGAGAGGTAGGCTGGGCTGCCTTTCACAGTTGCAGGTCCACCTAGTGCGACCTGCTCGTCAAAAATCTCTGCTAGGCCAAAGTCCACTAGCAATACATGTGGCCGGGAGCCATTCATTGCATCCTCCATGCTGAAAGGAGTCAAGAGCATAGTGTTTCCAGGCTTCAAGTCACAGTGGATAACGCCCCGAGAGTGCATGTAGTCTAACGCTGATGCCATCTGCACCGCCGCCTCGCGCACCCAGGGCTGTGGAAGCAGCGTCTCCGTGTCGACCGTCTCTCGTATCACAGAGGCCAGGTCGCCACCCTCCGCATAGTCCATCACGATGTGCAGGCTCTCCTCGCTCTCGAAGGCCTCGGAAGCGCACTCGCATTGCAAAAGCTCATTCGCTCTCTGTCTCTGGCATGCACACTACGATGTTTCCGGGTGTTGCGGACCTCGAAGACTCGCACAATGTGCGGATGATCCAAGGACTTGAGCATGTTGACCTGCCAGCATATGCGGGAGAAGGTCGACACAGTTGGACTGATGCTGGACTCATACTTCTCATGTGCAGCCGCATGCCAGATGGCACGATGCCTCAACCTCAACCTGCTCGCCCGCCACACTCAACTGGCTCTTTGGCACCTGGCAATCTGGCAATGGGCACGCTTTGAGGCTGAAGGCATCGCTCGTGCCGTGCAAAAGTATGGGATGACACGGCTGAGTGCGGCACCGATTTCACCACTCGGGCTACACCTGGGAGGCGAAGATGGGAGCTAGCTACCAACTTACATCTCACTGCCGTGCTCAGAGAAGGAAAAAGGAAGTTGTGTTGTTTGTGCCTGTCTGTGCTGTCGCCAACGCTCGTCGATCCAGTGCCAGCACACACAGTGGGCTGCTAGGTAAAACTCCAAAGCAGTTGCGGACGGACTTCAGGCATGGAACATAGCAGTGCGATGCTCGTGTGCAAAAGTGCCACACACACACACACACAGGACTCCCATTGTGTCTTTGTGCGGCGGACTACGATTTTATTGTAGTCGAACACAGCATGTGTAGCATTCATCTCTGCGTCCTTCCCGACATCTCGAGTCTTGGGCCTGGAATCCTGCCTTTCCTCTCTCATGTCGATTTATGGGATGGTCGGAACGTCCCGAGGAAAGCCGTGCGACATCAGCTCTGCTCTGAAATGGCTATGGCATACAACATCAATACATCGTAAGGTGCTGTCCAGATCCTGCTAAGGCTCTGGCCCAAGGAAGCGTGAAGAGCTAGGAAAACTTCCCCGTAGGAGCCCTGGCAGCGCTGCTTGTCTGACAAGAGCGAGAGCGCGCTGAGCGCCGCGGTTTCCGAGCGATGCCTCGCCAAGCTTTGCTCCCTTCAGGTAGACCTGGCAAAAGCACGAGAAGCGAAGAAGATGAAGAAGGATACTCCAAGAGCCGATGGATGGGGGACTGAGAACTGGATTCGATTCCTTCAGGCTGGCATGCGACACCACGGATGTTTCGAAGCGACAGGCCCTTCCTGGAATCTGACCCCTGCTGTTTGACCCGGCACAAATCTAAAGATGCGTGTGTCTTCACCTGGTGAAGCACGTAGCGCAGCCCTGCCACTCATTGTCACTCTAAGGGCAACATTTCTCTTAGCTCGCCGGCCACTCCGAAAGCCCTCATCGTGATTCTGCCGCTGTTGCACCGTCATTCAACAATCCAGTAACCAGGGGTCTCCTCAAGAAGCAGATCTACATGCTAAGCCTGGAAGGCCTGCATGTTCGGTTTTGGTAACAAGTGAAAGCGGTCCGTGCTGGTGCATGAGCACGTTTTGTCGACACAACTGAGAATCCTAGCCTGCATCCTTTACCTTCGTCGGCAGCGCTGCGGCCATCTGCCCTGGTTGTACGTTTATTCATTTACGACCGAGGCGACCTTATTTTGGTTGAGGCGCTGAATGTGGCTTCATGTCTGGTACACGGGAGCTGTGGGCCAAGAGAACTGAAACTTTATTAAAACGGGCATGGTTTACTTTCTCCGTCTTGGTTTTGGAATTCAGAGTGGCCCACAGCTTGATGCACCGTAGCGCCTTGCTCCAGTCATCACCATGGCGCGTGTGCACCAAGCACTGCCTGGAAACCTGACCAAACATGAGAGAAAGAAGCGGCAAAGGATCAGTGACGGATCGCTTGCTTGCTGCCACTCGCAGTTTTCTCGCTCTTCGCTGAAAGCAAATGCACCTCGGCACCGGCTCACGTACCGCAACCTTGCCATAGACTTCTTAGAAGCCACGGAGACTGGCATGGCAGCTCTTCTGCTCGCGATTACTATTGTACTAGCTATGCATATACATCTTCGAGCTCTAGGATCAAGCCTAGTCCTCGGAGAGGTAGAACCTGTGAAACAACGTGAAACGGCAACATGAACGCTGCACTCTTGTCTCCTTCGAGGAGAGGCGTGCAGGCACTCAGGCTTCCTGCAGAACTCAAGGAGCCGAAGAAATGCACACACAAGTCCACCCGGTCACATGCTTTCTGGGCTCACGGTGCAGGCAAGCTTCTGAATTGATGTGGATGCTCCTCTTGCTGAGCTTTTCCTGAATTGCGAAGCCCATCTTCTGACCGTCCAGGTCCACAGCAATTGGAACTATACCACGTCCGAGTGGCAATGTCCTTTTCGAGCTGGGACAGTTCAGCCTCGTGTTTCTCCTTTCGCTTCAGCTTTCCCATCGTATCCTCAGCAGACATTGGCTTGAACAGAAATCAACACAATCCACAGTCGTTGAGCTGACAAACTTGGCACCCCCACCAAGTTGGTCACGTGCGTACCGCCTTGATATGCTGTGTTTACCTGACTGTTCCAGTCTTCGCTCGCAGAATCGGATATCGAAAGTCTTGCCGTGCTGTGACTTATGACGACTTGGGAAGTGTGCAAGGCGAACCGGCGACCTGCTCCCACTTGGCTTTCAGTCCCTCCAGAAGGCTTTGGCGCTCGTCCTCTGTCATCGGCCGAACTCGCTCAGCCTGTTCGGAATGAGGATGGTCTACTGGGCTGAGGCTTGACTAAGACCAAATGCCTCGATGGCATATATGCATGTCATACAAGACATATGACACATGTATGCATGCATACCTGCAGTCGTGTACACCTTGCGCGCACATACATACACAAAAGATGCACATCGTTTGTTTTTAATTTTTGCGCCGTTTACCAAAACTTGCAAAGTCAGTGCAGCCACAAGCCCTAGGTTATGCACACGCACTTTTTCCCCCGAATCCGACGAGGTCCGAGAAGTGGCAGATCAGATCAAAATTCCGAGGGACCCGGGGCAGGCATAGCTCAGACAGGTCCGAAGACCGGTCGGAAATACGCCACCCCACCTCGAATTGATCAAACAAGGGGTTTCACAACCCCCAATCCGATCCGAGATAAAACAGAAGACCCGGGATCCCGAGAGTGAGCGGTCCCGCAGAGCCGTACAGAAACAAAGCACAGGTAATCGGCACCTGAGGCAACCGTACCTGGCATTCGTGTCCGGTTTGAAAGCAGGGCCCGAGAAAAGAGCCCCCAGCTATTGCTCCGATTTGAAGGCAAGGAGCTTGTCCAGGATCATCCAACTCGGAGACCAGGAAAGGGAAACATCCCTCCTATTTCCGGGGGAGAATCCTTCGAAATCAAAGTGAGTGAGCTGATCTGCCCACGTGTTGGAGCTACGCTTGACATTGACATGGGTGACCTGAGCAAAGACACCCTTGTGGAACTCCTGCGCGGAAAGTTCCATTAAAAGCGCCGAGCAAGGCCACTTCTTCGAAGATCTCTTGCTGGCCGAAAAAGCATTACCCTCATTGTCTGTAGTAAGAGGGAGGTGAGCATCCAACATGCTGGGTCCCAAGGACTCCGCAGCCAAAAGGAAAAGAATGAGGGTACCCAGGAGTTCCAGGGCCCCAATCCGGCGCTTCGGAGAAGTGTGCGCCAAAAGGGGCTGCACCCATGGGGTGGTCAGGACGTCCATGGAGAACGACAGGACCTCCTCCTTGGCCGGGTTAAGAGAGGGCGAGAACCAGCCGCCAATTGCCACCCGGCCATCGTCCTCGCCAGCATCGCTGCTCCCGTAGCATGGAGTGTTATGCTGCAGGCGTAGAGGAACGCAGGGGCCAGCATCCAAGATGGAGATGAGCAGAGTTGCCAGGAAACGTACAAGGTCTCCCGGTCTGCATTTCCGTTCAAGTTTCTGCTCCCAAGCATAGAGTGGCTGGAGGTGGGAGCTCACCTGAGGGTAGGCTTTCGCCACCCACTGCAACTTGCCCAGTAAGGAGGTGATTTCCTTTCTGGTATGAAGTTCCCCTGCTGCCAACTTCGACAAAGCCGGACGGAGGATGGTCATCTTTTCTTCCGGGAGCCACACAGAGCCCTCGGAGATGTTCACCATGTAACCCAGCCAACGGTTGACCTTCCCAAGGGCATTCTTGTGCCAAGAGATAGGACAGCCCAGCAACGTAAGGAAGAGCATGAGGGTGGCCGCACCCAGTTCGCCGAGGCTCTCCTTCATAACCGCCATGAAGTCATCGACAAAGACCAGAAGCCACAGGAAGACCTCAGAAATCTGGTAAGAGAGGCGGGTGAGGATGGCAGCCAATCGGCCCCAGTAAAGCTGTGCCGAGGCCACCCCATAGGTGCCGACCTTGTTGACCCAGAACTTCTTCTTGATCTTGGCCACCATGTACTTCCAGTGCTTCTTGAGGACTTTGATCCTCCGGTGGGCCTTGCTAACATCGGACTTGAAGAGGGTCAGGCCCTTAGACTTCAGATGGAGCCAGGCAAAAAGCAAGTCGTAGAGAGTCGGGGCCGTGGTCTTCTTGTCAGTGTTCGCCCTGACGTTGTCGTTGACGCCGATGACAGAGGCGTCGAAGATGGTCCTGACCTTGTCAAGTTCCTGGATGCCCGCCATGGCCCCGACGCACAGTTCCGCGACCGAGCAGTCACAGAGGTCCGCTGCCTCCTGTTCCGACAGGGGCCCCGCCACCATGTCGAGGAGTTTTTCTTCCAGGAAGGTTTTCTCGATGGTGTCCTCGAAGACCTCCGCGCTGGGGTAGTTGTCGGCAGTAGCGGGAGCCGGGGGCTCCAAATCGCGAGGTCCATTTCCCAGTTCCTGCTTGGACGGCCATATGTTCGGGTCCGGGAGCGTTGGGCCGTCCACCCCGAGAGGCACTCCTTCATGAAGGTGTTGGACCTGGTCCGGGTCCTCCGCCAGCTCCACCAAAGCTTGTAGAATGTCCAACGCAAACGGCTGACCAGGCGAAACCTCAGCTGAAACAGGTCGGTGGAGTCGGGCAGAGAGGAGTGAGGCCAGTCGTTGGCGGAGGTCTTCGACCCACTGGTCTGGCCAGGGGCAGCCCCGCGCCTGGGTTCTGAGCGATTCCCGAAAGGCCCAGGGGAATCGGCACCTGTGGCAACCGTCCCCGAGGTGAGTGTCTCCTCGATCCAATGGCCAACCCAGGCCAACTTGCATCTGTCCCTGTCTTCAGGCTTGAGTCTGCCAGGGGATGGCTTTCCACCACCATCCCTGAAGGGGCGAGAACGGTGTCCCAGCCGGACAATTAGGGTCCTGGCAGCCACAGGAGCCAACGCCGAAGCAATGGAACGGTCACCATCCGTGTCCCCGGATGTTGAGAAGAACACTAGCACCAGACAGGGTGGTCCGGATGCCTGCACCTGAGGCCATCCCAGTCCAGGGCCAGATTGCTAAGAACCGCCGTGGGTTTTCTGGCTCCGTGCCCCAGCATACACTGGTCAAAGCAGTGTATCTTCATCCGCGTCAGGCCCGCGAAGTCTTTACACTGGGCCGTGGCCCACCACGAAGAACAATTCTGCTGAGAGTCCGAGGTACCTTGGTTGGCGGGATCCTCCGGGTGTTCCAGGAGGAATGCAGGGGGCCGAGGGCCCGACGCCATTGCAAGGTGATAGAGGAGCAGCATCCTGAGCAAGAGCAAAGAGTCATTATCCGTATCCCTGAGCACCGACGCCGCAAGGTCTTCGAGGCCCCAGGCTGCTTGACCTTTCCTGCCCCTGACTGGGCCAGGATAGCCGACTCTGGGTACATGTCGCAGAATCGACCAAGTCCTGCAATTGGGCCCTCCAGTGATTGCCATGAGGTCACCAGAGAGCGCCAGGGCACAAAGGTCTGAAAAGGTTTCCTCAGAAAGGACATCTTGGGAGATCCCTCCCCTACAGATGTCCAATTCTCTGACTGAGGCTCCCAAGAGAGGGGCAACCTGTACTATCGCTGCCTTGGTGCTCCTGGCATCATCCTTCCCAGCATAGAGAATGAGCACTGTGGGCTGAGACGGCCTCCCGGCAACCGTACTTCTTGCAAAACTCTTTGCCATCAGATCCTTTGGGGGCCCACTCTTGGTGAGATGCCTTGGTGTGAGCGAATGTCGCCGGTGGTGGAGGGGGGTGGTCAGCCGCCTCCTCCGAGCGAGTGGCCCAACGCCAGTCTTCCTTCTTCGACTTTCCCTTGCCTTTGCCAGGCTTCTTGCCTTTACCTTTCCAATAGTCCCACTGCTGCCAGACTTTACCCTTGTCCTTGTCTTTGCCCTTGCCCTTGCCTTTTCTAGGGCCTTTGGGCTGGACAGTATGGTGGCGACGAAAGCAGAACTCATCGATTTCCATAGACCAGAATCGCGAGTTATTCTGGATTTCTTTGAGGGCGGCTGTGATGGTCAAGGTCTCATCTTTGGCCATGTTGAGGGCCACCTGGCGCCAGACCTTTCTTTCTGCTGTCATTAAAACCCCCAACGAGGGGGCAGGCTCACGGCCCATGATGGTGTCCCCGAAGAGGAAGTTGTAAAAGTCGTCCAAGTCGGCCTTGGTGAGGTGAATGCAAGAGGGGCCCGTGCATGTCGCCACAACCATGAGGAGGGACGTGCGCCAGATCATGAGGACCCGTTTCCATTGTTTCTCCGACTGGACCCGATTGGATTCCTCATGGATCCACTCCTCATCTTCTTTGCTTTGGCGCTTCTGGAACTTCAATTCACCATCTTTGGGGTGGTTTGCAACGACCTTGTTGAGATCCAGCTGGGAGCCTGAAAGGAACTCTCCTCGGTACAAAACCCTCTTCAAGACGCCAAGCGTATGGTCAGATCCTTCGTGTTCCCGCTCCGGTTCCGTGCCGAACTTGGAGAGGTAAGCTGCCCTCATTTCTTGGCGGTCACCTCTGCCAATCATTGCTTTGTAGTCTTCGACCGAGTGGATATCCACCTCGGCCAGCTTCCTTTTCTTGAGGAGCTTGAACTGCTCGACCGCGTTCTCCAGGCGGATAGCCGTGAGGACGCAAGTGTGGTGAAAAGCCCAACTTGGGAGCCTCCTACCGGAGTTCCTTTTCATCCCAACGGCCTGCCCAGTCCTGGGCCGTGACAAAGCCCTGCTTTCCCATGACAAAGAGGACAAGCCACGGGACCTGATGCCTGGCCAGGACCAGTCGAACGTGCTCTTCGATTTTCATGACCTCCTCCTTGTAGGGGTCTGGGCACAGCTCCGGGGCCGTGCTAGGGTCAGCTTGGCATCGAGCTCAGCACCCGGTCTGTCCATACTGCCAGGGTGCAGGAGGGCAAGGCAAGAGCGAGAAAACCCAGGAGAGGGCGGGAGGGCAAGAAAAAGAACAACACGGGAAACAACCCCGCGGTACCGAGACCCGTCGCGAGTCTGACCCAAAATGGCAGCCGGCCCGAGCAGGATGCAGAGGGAAGGAAGGCTGTAGGCTTGGCCCTATGACATGCGAGTTGATCAGTGCAAGCACGGATTCCTCTACAAGTCACAGTGCAGCCACAAGCCCTAGGTTATGCACACGCACTTTTTCCCCCGAATCCGACGAGGTCCGAGAAGTGGCAGATCAGATCAAAATTCCGAGGGACCCGGGGCAGGCATAGCTCAGACAGGTCCGAAGACCGGTCGGAAATACGCCAAGTCCGCAGGGCTAATGCCTGCCACCTCCGAAGGGCCCGAGGACTTAACACGTGGC